ACACACACACACACACACACACACACACACACACACACACACACACAGGCAAAAGAGGAGATCCCAAAACCGGAGTCAGGCAAGTTAGTCCAAAAATATCCCAAAATCTAAAAGCTCAAGTCTCAGCTGGCAATACTGCATCATTGCTTTTTGTCCTTCTTCCTCTTGTCTGTTTTGGTACCCGTTGATGTGGAGACAGCAGGTCGTCTGACAGGCTGCACTACAACCCTCCCGTTAGCCCCGCACTGCAGGGTGAATCTTTCTGGGTTCAGGGGCCGTCCTGAACTATCTCTCAGCCGGGCCAGGACGTCCCTGGTCAGCTGCTTTATCTGTTGGCCCACAGCACCCATTGTCTTGGCTGTAAGCTGCTTCTCCTTCAGCAGCCTGCTTCTCTGAAACTGCAACCTTTCCACCTCCTCTTGCAGCCCTGTGATGGCATCTAGTTTGCGCTTTCGGCAGTTTTGCGCCGCCAGTTTGTTCTTTCCCCGTCTGCGGATATCCCTCAGGAGGGTCACCTGGTCAGGGGAGAAGCCGTGACCGTCAAGGACCTCTAGGAACTCCTCCACAGGCATGTTGACAATCTGCAGGACAGAGAAGGGGATGCACATGGCACGGGCGCGCAGCTCATCACGACTCAGATCCCTGTCATCAAACCTTGACCCATCATCATCGCTGAGAGGCTCCTCTTTGATACCTTTGTGAGGAAGTGTTACTGATGGCTGGTTGAAGAAAGCAGGAGATGAGTAGCTGTGGTCATGCCACACACTCTCACTCAGATCAATGGGGGACCACGTTGTGTTGTAGTCCATAATGCCCTTTGAGGGGACTGAATCCACCTCACTGCTGTAGCCTGTAGCTCCACACTCGTCCTCGCAGTATGAACTGGATGACGATGACATCTCGGATGAGCCTGGGCGGGTGAGGAGTTAATTTATGCATTAGTATGTAAGAAACAATGTCTTGACCTAAAAAGCCGTGGCAATAAAGAAATGTAATGTTTTGAACCAACCTGGGGAGACTGGACCTCCAGAGCTGCTCTCCAAGGAGAGACCCGAGTCAGAGTCCAGGTCCTCGAGGACCTGCGGGTTTATGCTCTCCAGAGAGCCCATCAGCTGGGTGTCCAGGCCTTCCAAACCTAGCTGATTGATCTGGTCAAACACTGCCTCATCCAGACAGCCACCCAGTGCACTATGCGATGACACATTTCCAGTTAAATTACATACTGACGCAAACGGGAGCGCAGCCAGGCCCACTGCCATCCCTGGTGACGGGTCTGAGTGGGAGGAGCCTGTGGATTCCAGTCGAAAGAGGTTTCTTTGCTGTTGGGCGATCGGCCTGGACTCGACTCTTTCAGACGCCACACCAAACGCTCGGGTTACCATAGCATCATGCAAACTGACATCCTGGCTGATGGCGCTGGGGATGTCCGTGCCGAGGTCTGACAGACGCTCCGTAACAAGGGAGTCCAAGTCCTACACATGAGACACGCATGTTAGCTGATTTTCTTTGCAATTTAGAAGAAAAAAATCATTACAAGACATACATACTGATATTTATTTCCTTATGCATCTGAATGACTGTTTAAACCAATATTAGGCTTCAAGTAAAATACATTTCCAGGGGCCAAAACTTACGTCGAGGTCAGTGACGGACAGAGAGAGTAAATTGCTCCAGTGCTGGTCAATATCAATGGTGGGAGGCTGGTGGCGGGCTGGATCAGACAGCGCAGTGATGCCTTCAAGAAGACTCTGAAATAGGCAAAAAGGAAATGCATAGAATAAAGCACGGACACAGTACGTGGTGTGGTGATGCTATGTCTCCAATGTGAATAAAAGTATTTGTGCCACAGTTCAAAATCATACCACAGTATATGCTAATAAAACTGTTGAAAATGCCATTTTATACTCTTAAATCCTCTTGATAAAGCCAGCTGTATAGATTAGGATTGTGAACTCTCTGTAAGACATTCAATAATTATTGTGCTTCAACATCCGCTAATCTTACAGTAACCACAACAGCACCGTCATCAGAATGGTGTAGTTTGAGTCATGTGAGAACATGAATTTATGGTTAAAAATAGGTACACGGCCATTTTCAACACAGTCACGTGACAGTAAGCCTTATTCAAGTGTGACTCGCTTATTGTCACAGACTAAATCATTGTAGTGAGCACTACAATAAAACCAAAAATGCTATGTTTCAGTGAACCATAAACTTTTAAAAGCAAATGATGCAACGTGCCAAATCTTTAACAGTATACAGCGATAAATGAACACTATGACAAACCAGGATCATACCTCTTGTTCCAGTGTGGAACTGTGAGCCAGCTGAGTGAGTGGGGCAGGTTTTTCCTCCTCTTTAACTTTAATATCCTCCTCCTGGTAAGGCAAAGAAAGGCAGATTGAGAGAAAGGGAAGACATAATTGGGGATCAGGAGAGTCAAAGATGAAAGAGAAAAAGAGTTGATTTGTTAGTCGACATCAAAAGACAATTACATTTCTGGTTTGGTAACCCCTATCTGGCCATCGTAGATAATTGGATATCTTAGAAATGTATTAAAAATAACTGTTCTGACAGATACAATGCTTGCTTTAATTAGCGGTGGTCACAACACCAGAGGGAACAGAGACAGACTGTACAGACTACATTTAAAACTCCTTTCATCGTCCTGTCACCTGTGGCCAGAGCCTTTAACAACACATTTGCAGCTGTATTTGTGTACTGAAGTGGGGCTTATGATTCATTTTAATATATTAACAGTTAAGCTAACTACTCTCAGAGATGACCCAACCCTGTTAGATATTGTAAGACATTGCTGATAAACAAAGTACAGCATTTAATGTGAGGCAGCAGCCGTCGGCCACAGACACAGAATGCTCGATATATCCCAACAAAGACAAAAATCTATTTTCAGTGCCCAAGTGATAACAGGGGGTGGATTCTCACCCATTCCAACAGGAGAAAAGACTGTTGAGTAAGTTTTTACTTAATGCTAGAGGCAAAAACATGACAGACTGTACATTACACCAGCCGAGTTCTGCCCGAGCTCTGTTTGAGCTTGTCGACTTCTACTGGAGTAGCTTTTCCTGCTCCAAATGGCCCACTGAATGTAGATAGGTCTTGATATTTTCAAATATTACCGCTGTAGTCCTCTCCTTTGAAGCGTTGGATTTCCAAAAACTACAAAAACTTACCCTACGAGCAGTTAAGCTATTTACAAAAGAGTGGGTAAGGAATAAAAGATTTGTCGACATCACATTATCCATGTGAATAAGAACCCTGGGAGGGGGAAGTGTATAAGTATGGACCACCGCTTTTGTGTAAGCAAACAGGGTATGGGTCTAAGTCTCACTTCTCCACCTCTCAAGGCCCACAGCTGGTGGTTGAGTCTGAAGAAAGGGGATATAGTTACACAATTGGCGACATCAACTGCCCTCAGGACATAACATTCACCAAGCAGCTGTTTCTACCCTGAGCTAGAAAAACTGGATTACTGGGGAAAAAATATATATTTTATATAATGGAAGTCACAGATTACAATAGAAATTATGAAACAACACATATAATTGGTTATTATTGGTAATTATTTTTCAATGTTTTTATTAACAATAATAACAAGTGAGTGAACCTTTTGGCAAATAGTGTTACAGCTGTGTGGTTACCCGATACACTGGTCTTATCTGTGAAGTTAAGTTAATTCTACTGTCCTGACTATTCGGACATGGCTTAATGTGACAAGTTCCTGAAGAGTAACAGGTGCAGTGAGCAGTTACTCAAATATTTTACCACTGTAAGTTACTGGTTTAGCTGGACCGGTCAGGTATTCTTTGGACTGAGTAACTGAATTATCATGATGAAATCTAACTAGGAAATAACAATCACTGAATTGCAACAGAACAGGAAGAGCCACACAAAGTGAAAGTGACTGAACATTTCAAGTTTTTGTCAACAGGTTATTACATTGTGTGTGTCTTGTTTGCCTGGTGCTCCAGAATAGGTCGCATAATATTAAGTTACTGATTGGATGTACACCCATCATTGTATAACATGGGTCAGTGCTAATGGTTAGCATTAGCACTGATGAAGTTGTAACGCTAGTCCACCACCTCTCTCTGTCAACGAACTTTACTTTAGTCGGACAGCCAACCAGTCTTGGACCTATAACGTTAGCTTACATAGCAACAACGTCTGTTTAACTTTCTGTTACATTGCACACACACTTGCCTCTTTAAGAAAACAGCAAGCTCCGGTGCTACAAGGCCTTTGTCCAAGTTCAGTTGTTGTTTGGCACACCTCTTGGCCACTGTCGGGCAGGTGTTCACTGTCATCCCTGGCTTCGTCCCCGGGGCTTTCTAATAACCCTGAGTTGGTGTCAGTGTTGTTGCTGGTTGAAGGCCCACAGTCAGCCTTGTCAGTGGCAGACACTTGGTGCACCAGCCATGCGTTCAACTGCGTGGGGAAGCTCCGTGAGCCAAGGGTCCTCACCTCGTCTAGGAGCCGGCGACTTGCAAAGAAATAGTCCAACTCGGGACATTTTGGGTGCACACTATATCCGTCAAGATTGTCTCTCAAATTATGAAAGGGTGTCTGGGTGTAGGCTGAGCTCGAACCCAAGTTAATCTCTATCAGAGGCGTATAATAGCCGCTTAAGTAGCTGTCGATATCCACGCGAACTCCAATCAAACTGAGTAAGATCGTTAACTGAATAAGGCCTTCTGACAAGTACTTTTTCGCGATTTGCATTTTCTAAATGCTTTAAGGGCTGCAGATAACTGTGAAATACTGACCCAACAGTTCCTCTTTCCCGAGTGGACAAAGGGAAAAGCCTAACAAAAGAGCACGCCTTCCCCTGTCAGACAAAGAGGTCCGCCTGTGCCGGTGAAATCGTTAGATAGTAGTGCTAGTTAGCTGTTAGCAGCTAGCTATCATCTTAAATCACCGGTTAATCGGAATCTGCTGGCGCAAACATAGCGAAGACGTTGCTCGTCAGTTATTCGTCGGCGACACTTCGCTATCAAATCTTTTCCGGCGTCGCTAATTAAATAGAAAATGAAACATCTGAGAAGCTAACCGCTGTCACTACTGTGGCGTGCCGCTACTGGGGAAACTTCGTTTCAGGATTTGCATAGCTCAATGCAGATTGGACCAAAGCGCTCGCCGTAACAGATTGTGATTGGACAAAAACAATGTCAGTTGTAATTTTGACCAATGAGAGTAAGGGACAGTTGTTAACTCTCGCCAGCCCCCAGCCCACTTATAAAAAAACACATTTTCACAGAAATAGTAGCAGAAACCTTGCTGATTTCGCTTCAGAAAAACATTTAATATTACCCTTCGTTGTATTCATTTCGTATTTCTAACAGTTCATTGATCCCAAAGGAGTTTCTCAGGAACATGGTCAGTAGGACGTTTTTTGTTATACAGTATGTTTGGCCTACTGGTAATCGGCTGAATTACAATTTGAACTTGTTCAACTATGATGTCTTTAACTATCCCCCAAAAAAAGCAGAAAGCCAATGGTGGGATTTTGACTTCTACAAAACAAATCAGTTCATACTCGGTGTGAAATATAAAGTCTAGATTGGGTAAACAGAAAATGTTATATTTCAGATTACATTTTCTTTAAAAACAAGTCAGTTTATGGAATACATTGTACGTTATGGATTAAAGTACCAAACACTATATAAAATAGTTAAAATAGCTCCACCTCTACCAATTTCAACATTAAAATGCTGCTTACACTGCATCAGTAATAATAATCCAATTATATTTAATTACAATCTAAGGGGGGTATTCTGCACAATGAGATTACTTTTCTGATATAGCGTCTCCACTTGTAAGATAAATATTGAATGAGGGATTTTATTTTATATTGTGGTGTTGCTACTTTTTCTTAGTAAAAGATAAAATACTTTAATAACTCCAGCACTATTATATTGGAATAAATTCTGATAGAGAGGAAACAGAGGGAATTTTAACCCTCAAAAATTCAATCTTGGGTTTAAATTGCTCAATGGCTCTAAAATACAACACACTATTAGATCGAGCACAAAAATACATGTTATCTAATTTGAACTGAAAGGTTGGTCACTCTCAGATCAAGATGTTGCCGTTCAGACTGATGATGTTGTTGATGTGCATCTTATCCTTGACCCTGAATTAATCCTTTGGATGTTTCAAGGTCTGTCTTGCCAGTGGTTTTAGGATGTTGTCAATTCAATCTGAATCATATTATATAATAAGACCTTTAATTTTGAATGCACCTATTGTTTATTTATAATAACTCCTCATTGTTCACATTACTCATACTGACCATGCACATTTATCCTAATCCCAAAAATGCTGAAAAATGCTGAAGTTGCCCCTTATACCTTTTGAGTTTGTCCCCTCCAGCTTAGTACATTTGATAACCTATATGTAATTTATCTATAGGCTCCTTGTTAACCTATTCTGAAACAGAGACACAAACTGATCCTATAAAACAAGGAATGGAAAGACCTGTATGTGTTTGTGCCATGTTTGTTTGTTTTTCTACTTTGCAATCATAAATCATACCACATACCCAAAACAAATTGTTGGAGGAGCTCAGTCTGTCCTCCAACATCTCAGGCATACACTAGTGGCCCTTTTCAAGGCAATATCAAAAGAGGTCCTTTTATAATACTAATACCATGACACACTCAAACATCCTGAGTCTCACTTATTTACTGATACATTATCTAAGACTATGCAAGCTTAAGCGGTGAGATTGAGGACAAACTTGAGCTAAATCAAAAGAACAAAACCAGGTAGATAGAATTAAAAACAGACACTGATTTCACCTTTAGAAAACATTTATTGTGGAAGAAAATTGTAAAATACATACAGCATGTAGTAGTGTATATCCAGTGGTGGAGGAAGCATCCATATAAATAAAAGTCTTGCTCTCTGGAGGACGGAGCTCCGCTAGGTGAGTCCGTCCAGTCACACACACACACACACACACACACACACACACACACACACACACACACACACCTTCCTGATTGAACTTTCTATTTTTCTCCCCCCACCCCTACACACTTTCCTCCAATGGTTGAACATTTGCACACAGTCTCCTCTTCACACTGACTTACACACTGCACTTATACCAGGAGGAATTCTATATATAATCTCACATACACATAAATATTTATACTACTGTCCATACATCTGACCTATAATGTATTCATATACTGTTTATAGTGCATATATCTGTTCTGCAGCCTACCTCCAGCTGTTATTCTGAACGTAATGTGTCATTATTAGCAATACTTGTACTTAAACCTGCACTATATATTTTCTATAACTGCTGCACATGTTCATACTGTATATATCTCCTCATATTCATATCCACCACTTACTGTTATCATATATACTGTATATTATCCAATATGCACATTAAACTGGGCATTACTGCTTTTTGCACTTCTGGTTGGATGTTAAACTGTATTTTGTTCTCTCATGTTTTTGTACTTTGTGCAATAACACTTAAATTGTATTCTACCTCATCTGATACTAGTGTAATAATAATCTAAAAGTACTAAAGGGAAGTACACTGTAAGTAAGTAAAGTGCAGGCAAACGTATTTGTAGATACCTTCATCCACACTGTGTGTATTTTGCTGTGGGCTATGATTAAACAAATCAAATTAGAATTTTCTGTTTTTATGTTCATATAAATTGTCAGTGTAAACAGGACTGACTTCAGGCTCCAAGTCACTGGGCTGGACTTTGAAGAGTGTCTGTGACCTGGACTATTTGCGACCCCTGCTGTCAAAGAATGGTAACATTAATGGATATCAGATATAGGTCACTTAATGAAAACAATGCAATAATTACCAAATGGGACAGTGTATATAACGACTAAGACATAGTCTGAGTAAGAATGCGTTTTACCAGATACAATTTGAATTTACATCGTTTTCCTGACTTGACGTAACATATAATGTGAAAACCGCATGTAGACAGTAACAACTCTTGACACTGGCATTATGTCACACAGCATATGCAATAAATAAGATGTTGAAGTTCAAATGGATAAAACTCTTCCTCCGGGTCTCTACTGCACTGATCTAGTTACCTCTGAGTTGCTGCTGTAGTGGAGTTTTCTGAGCAAAGAAAATCAGTAATCCTTTTGGAAATAGCCTGCACAGACTTTGAAATGTCATGACACCATACGAGAAGTTTGGGAAGTCGTATTCAATTATGGGAGCAATGATGAGCGGCTCTAACACGTCTAGTTCAAAACACATTGTCTATGTCACCTCGGAGTCTCACTGCCGAGTGAGCACAAGTCTAGTGCAGACGTGCTGTAGAGCTTATCTGCTATTTAGGATGCAACTGCAGCATTGTTACAGACCAACTGCAATAATATAACATTCACACATCGAGAAACTGTCGCTTTAGAGTTTTACAAAGCTATTAAAAAAAAAGAAGCCCATTGAAAAAAACGAATGACATTTGAGGACCGCCTGGTGTGAGTTTAACAGATTTGACTCGGTAGCACAACAAATCCAGAGTCTAAACGCTCCAAATCGCGTCGCTTTAAAAAAGTTGTGAAGAGTGGTCTACTCCAATTGATCTGACGCCAGCGTGCAGTCATTGATTAATCCACAAGTATGTTCATAACGATGTGAAACACATTTAAATCAACTTTGTGAAGTTCTGACAGATTTATTAGGGGAGAGCTCTTAAATCACTCCTACGTACTACTCTGAGGACGAAGCTGATTGGTGGAATTACACGTGACTTTCGGAGGGCTAAGTGCGCGTGCGCACATGTTTTAGGCGCTGCAAAGACTCATGGGAAACCTGAGGGAAATCGAGGTGACTTCCAAGGGACTATTTTGTCGTTATTATTATAATTTCTTACCCCAGAGATGACAATTTAAACTCGCCTTGAAAGTCCTCTTTATATACTGGTCTCGAGTCAGATTTAAGGCCACGATGAGTACAAAATTAAATGTTTCACATAATATTGTTTACCCTAATTGTATTTATTTATTTAATTCATTATTATCAGACTTTGGAGGCAGAGGCAGTACTAAGTTTAGCTCTTCATGAAATGTGGGTGAGAAATATTATTTCAACCTAGCCTAATCAATGATCTACAGTGGATTTATCGGTTGCACCTTAAATGAGATGATTATATGAGCAAAGAAAAAGACAAAAGTTAAATACTGTAGATGCAGTTCTATTTGATTTTGCAGGACTGATATTACATTTTAAATAATATTCTCCAATATGGATGATTATTAGAAATGATACTGTTCTGATAAAATATATATTATATTATATTATTATATATTTGTTTTATTTCCTAATAAAATAATAAGCCAGGGGAAATATGTTCATCTGATTTCGTGTCAATAGTAAAAAAAATGTTTTGATTAATTTATAAATATGCTTAATTTTTTTATCAGGCTGAAGTGCAAAGCAAATTCAACTTTTTTAAATAAACTTTTTTTCATTGACAATTTTATAATTTGTAACCCTAATTACTGTTATTATAATCCAAAACGTAAAATACTAGATATGTACTTGTTTCTAATTGTATGGTCAGCAATTAGGCTTTTTGTAAATAGGAGCCTACCATAATATTAATTGCATGAAAATATATTTCATATAAGAAAGTATACAATTTTGAACTATAATATATATATATATATATATATATATATATATTATATATATATATATATATATTTATTCTTGATAAATGTAATTATTTTAACCCATCAGGTGTAAATGTAGTGAGTGAGTGTCTGTGACATGCAGTATGTAATTGTGTGTGTGCGTGTGTGTGTGTGTGTGTGTGTGTGTGTGTGTGTGACTGGACGGGCTCACCTAGCGGAGCTCCGTCCTCCAGAGAGCAAAACAAGAGACTGGCCGCTCTTTGCCTCCAGACCCCTTGGCTGCTTGATTGACATCTGCTTTCAGCCAATCACACAAACGATTCAAAATTCGGACTTCCTATTGGTTCAACGCTCCAGCTCAAACGCCCTGCATCAGCCAATCACAGAGCGTGAATCATCATAAAACTTATGATGACCATTCTGGCAGACTGTGTGGCGCCCCGCAGCGGAGG